CCCCCCCCTCCCCCCCTCTCTCTCTCTCTCTCTGCATCACGCAACCCCACCCGGCTTAACACCCGGCCCTGCTGCGCGCCCACACGCGCATAGTACAAGGCATGGCCGAGTCCGAGAGCCAGCTGCTCGCCAGGCGGCAGGAGTACATCCGCGAGAAGCGCCGCCAGCGCGAGTACGAGCGCGATTTCCTGCCCACCCGACGGCAGCGCTCCGTGTCTCCGCGGCGGTATGCCGGCGGTCGCGACCGCGACCGTGATTGGGAACGCGACCGCGACTGGGAACGCGAACGTGAGCGCGATTGGGAGCGCGAGCGTGCACGAGAGCGTGACCGGAATCGTGACCGAGATCGCGATCGCGATCGCAGCCGGGAACGCGGCCGCGACTACGACTACGACTATGACTACGATCGTGAGTGGGGCCGCCCTCGCGAGCGCCCGCACACCCAGGCGCCATCTCCGGCCGGGCGCCAGCGCCAGCGCCGGTCCCGGTCCCGGTCCCGATCCTGGTCACGGCCACGGTCCCGGTCCCGGTCCCGGTCGCGGGCGCGAGCGCGTTCATGGTCACGGTCACGGTCACGGTCGTGGTCGCGGTCGCCCGACCGGCCGCGCGCATCGCCCTCTTCCCGGGTGACGCCCATGCCGCGCCCCGGTGCCCCGGCCGAGGGGGCTCGACGTGGCGCCGAGCGCGGCACCAGCGGCGTCCCCCAGCCGCCGGGAACCCGGCCCCCTGTCGGCCGTGCCCCGCCGGGCGATGTGCCCGTGAAGAGCGAGCTCCCGGCGCCCCAGGCGCTCCCGGTGGCCGACCCACCCCCCCAGGTGTGTCTGCGGCCCGCATCGCCCTCTGCCCTCCATGTTGCCGCACACACACATCTGACTGTCCCCCCCCCCCCCTCCTTCACCCACAGAAACCCTCGGCCGAGACATCTCGCCCGAATGGCTCCCCCGAGAGCCCCACTACTGGAGCGGATGCCGGCCCGGCGGCCGACCACACGGCTGCCGCCGCCGGCAAAATGCCGGACCTCCAACACAAGGCTGCCGCCGCTCCCCCGATCACACTCCCCTATACCCCGCGGCAGGTGCGCGTGGTGCACACGGCCCCCCATGCGGCCGCCACCATCGAGGTGGAGGTGGACCCCAACGGCGGGGCATCCATCGTGCACATCAATCTCGACGCCCTGGAGCGCCTGTCCCTCGAGCAGATCCGCCACTTCGCGGACCACTGGTGCGCCCTCCCCCCTGGGGCCCCTTCGACGGCCTGCCCCCCCCCCCCCCCCGCCTCCTTTCTCACACACACACACACACACCTCCCTCCCTCCCTCTCTTCTCCAGCAACGATGTCATCTTCCAGGAGTCGCAGCCCGGCGTGGCGGACCACGCCTTCGCCATCATTCATGGCGGGGCCCTGGACCTGCCCAACTGCATGCGGCTCTTGGCCCGGCAGCACCCAAACATGACCGTGGTCCGGGAAATCTTTTCCAGCAAGCACCAAACCGTGACCACCGACCTGCAAGCGTACACACGCCTGGTGGCCCGGACCTATGGGGGCGGCACGCACCGGGCCGGCACCCTGCGCTCCATCAGCCTGGTGGGCTGCCATACCGAGGAGAAGGGCGGCTACTTTCCGGAGCTGCTGGCCCTGATGGAGCGGCACATCTTCCTGGCCCATCTGCTTCCCTGGGGCCCGCTGTCCAAGTATGCGGCGGCCGCGCGTCGGGCCCTGGCCGAACTCCGCCAGATGGCGGTCCCGGCCACCGGCCCCGGCTCGTCCGCCCCTCGGTCCGGCGACCGGGTCAATGGCCGCGACCACACCAGTACCAACAGCGCCACCAGCACCAACAACAACAACAACAACAACAACGACCACAACAGCACCCACAGCCAGGATGACAACGACCGTGCCGCCTCCCAGGCCCATGTGGAGGCCCTGCGCCGGGAGGCCCGCGGCCTGGCCCCCACGGACAGCGACGACGGCCCGATTCTCTGGTGCTGCCCCGGTGAGCAAATGGTCCCGGTGTCGGAGCTGGCTGACCTGCAGTCCGGCGGCTTTGGCCACACCCATGGCACGGCCATTCCCACCGGCGCGGCGGCCGGCGCCTCCATGGCGGCACTGATTAGCAGCGCGGCGCGCGGTCGGCCCCGGCGCGGGGCCGCCGTCGGGTCGGCCTCCGGCGGCCAGCGCGAAAAGCTGATCGAAGACCGGACCGGCGCCCATGCCGACATGGCCGGGCTCTTCCCCGAGCGGCACCCGGTGGCCGCGGTGGGCTTCGTGCAGAACCCCTGTGCCGCGGACCCGGAGATGGTGGGCGCCCCGTCGGCCGGGCCGCCATGGTGGTGGTCCTCCCAGCAGCCGGGCTCCGGGGATGAGCGCCACTCGCCGCCGGGGGCCGCCGCCGCCGCGGCCGGCGACCAAGTCGACCCTCTGATGCCGGCCGCCGGCTACGATGCCCACTTCCCCAAGATCCTGAAGGACATCATTGTCTTCGATGGGGCCGACATGAACGCGGTGGCCGATCGCTGCCGGCTGTACTTCCACGAGGTGCGTCTTCTGGGCGCCTGGGATTCGCGTGCACGCACGCATGTCCCGCCCTCTCTCTCTCTCTCTCTCGACCCCCATGTGGGAGTTATCCCCGGTGCTGACACGCCTGGCCTCCCCCCGGCCCCACCTGTCTCCAGGAGCCCAAGGACCAGCTCCTTGACTCGAGCCTCTGGCTGGACGACGCGCACCTGAATCTCCTCCGGCGCTCGGGCCTGCGCTGGGCCAAAACCGTCCTCCGGCATGGGGACATCTATGTCATCCCCCGGCGGGTGGTCCACCAATTCCGCACGGTGGGCGCCTGTGTCAGCATCACCTGGCACCTGAAGCATGAGGGATACTACACGGGTGCTTCGCACGACGTCCTGCCCTCCTTCGCCGATACGGCCGAGGCGGCCGGCGACGCCAGTGCCAGCGCCAATGGCAGCTCTCCGGCCGCCCCGGGCAGTCGGCGTGGCCTCCATCGCAAAGCAAACACCTTTGGCGTGGCCAACGAGTCGAGCGTGCTGGCCCCACGGCACGCGTGGGCCCTGCCGCCGGATCACCCTCTCGAGGGGCAGAAGGGCTCCCCCGCGCGCCGGGTCCACGTCCTTGCCAGCGACGGCCAGCCGGTCGCCTCGGCTCCCAAGCGGCGGGGCCTGGCGTCGGCCAAGTCGGAGCCGCCGACCTCGGCGGGGGCGACCCCGCGCCGGTCGCGGCTCGCCCGGTCGCTGGAATCCGGCATCAGCAGCGACGGCATCTCCTTCTCGGAGGACTCGCTCACCGATTCGGATCTCACCGACTAGAGGTCCTCCGTTCCCCCTCCCCTTGTCCTTGTGTACTTGCCTTTCTCTCTCTCTCTCTCTCCTCCTGACAGGGGGCGCTCTCCCTCGAGATGTGTGGCCATGTGTCCTCCTATGTCGAGAGAAATACAGCGTTCGCGCACGTATAACCCGTGTGTGTGTGTGTGTGTGCGCGCGCGCGCGCATCACGTCCAGGACCAGCCAGGGCCACATACATACGCACACGCATGCGTGCACCCATCACATGTGTCTAGAAATGTGTATTTGAGAAGGGCAGACACGGCCTCACCAGCCGAGCTCCTGGATCAACTGCTCTACATTGGTCAGGGTGGTGTTGAGCTTGACCCGAGCATGTAGCCCTAGCGAGGCACTGTCCGTGATGACCAGACGCTGGGAAGCGAGCCTGCGACAGGAAGAAGAACCGCAGCCGGCGAGACCGACATGAGAGTCAGAGAAGGGGGGATATAGCTGTCGCATGGTGGCCGAGAGAGAGAGAGAGAGAAAGAAAGAAAGAAGGGCGGGAACAGGCGCACCGATGACACGCCAGCTGCACATCGCTCGAGGAGGGCACCGGCCGATGTGACAGCTGGCACATGTTGCGAATCCGGTCGCACACCTGCGACCAGCCACCGGGATGACGGGAGGAGGGGGAAACATGCCCGTGGTTAGATCCGGCCAGGGGAAAGGATGAAAGACAACCAGCCCCAGGCACAAGCCAGGAGGGGCCCGACACACCTGCCACAGAAGCACATCGCCGGAGAGCTGATGCACAAAGCCCACCGAGCCGCTGGTCCGGCGCTTGGTTTGGGTGCGCTGGGCCTGCTGCTCCAGGTGCACGGCCGCCATGAACAGGCGCTGAGCGATGGGCAAGCCAGACAGCGACACCTCGGCCGCCTGGTGATAGAAGACCCGCTGTGCGATTTGGTGGACATGCCGCGGGAGGACTTTCTCTGCATGGAAGGGAAGACAGGGCCCGGAAGGGGGGGGGGGGGGCTGGTCAGGACATGCCCCGCCGGCACGGGGAGGCCTGAAAGCAAGGCCGAAAGGGAAGGAGGCCAGAGGCCGACACGTACCGCCGCCCTCGTTGTCGGCAGCGTCGGCCGCACGCCGGGCAATCTCCAGAGCCCGCCGCGCATCGCCACTCATGTTGGCCACCAGGGTGGCCAAGACACCGCGCGCGGCCGGGTCAAACAGCGCATCAATGGCCGCCCCCTGCACCGCGGCCAGCACCTCGGGCGTCATGGCCTGGTCGATGGATATCCCGGACGCCTGGGCCACCGACTGAATGGCCAAATCCACCTCCGGTCGGACGGCCTCCGCCAACCGGCCTCGCAGGATCTCGTCAATCTGCCCGGAGGTGTACGACGCGAAGTCCACCCGCAGCATACCCAGGCGCGAGGTCACTCGTGGCAGGAGGAGTTCTGTACGAGTGGGCGGGGAGAGAGAGAGGGGGGGGGGAGGGAGGGGGGGGGGGGGGGGGGACGAGAAAAACACAGGTCAGACGTTGACCACGCGTGTGTACGTGGTGGCCGGGCCCGAAGGGCCGGGCGCCGTCGGCAGCGCACTCTCGGGCAGGTTCATCGTGTTGGCAATGGCCACGATGATCAGTCGCGACCCGGGCTTCTGCGGCCAGTCGAACAGGTTGTACACTACGGTCTGCTTCTTGGTCAGCAGATGATCCACCTCGTCCAGCAGGAGGACCACCGGCAGGCGGCTGCAGCAGGGGGGGGGGAGGGAGGAGGGGCCGGGGCGACAACGGGTAAATAAGGATAGCTGAAGAGGGGGAGGGAGGGGGAGGGGAAGAAATGGGGAAAAAAAGATGTAGAGAGACCTACCTGTCCGGCGGCGAGCCGAAGTGCGCGTCCAGCTGGGCCAGCGCCCGGTTGGCGCCAAATTTCTGCCCCAGCACGGCCAGCGCCAGCTCCGAGTATGCGGCACTCGGGTCTCGCAGGCGCAGCGCGTTGATTTCCACAAATTGAAAGGGCGGGATGTGCGACGCGTCCGGGGTGGCGGGGGCCAGGGTCTGCCGCGCGTGGCTGCGCAGCATGCGCACTGCCTCCAGCACGGCTGTTGTCTTGCCGGTGCCCGGCATGCCGGACACAAAGAGACACGCCCCGCCGGGCAGGGTCCCGGATTCGGCATCCACCGCCTGTAGTGAGTTGACCAGCGCCGACTCGACGATGGTGCCGATCTGCGCGTTCCAGGCCCGGCGGGCAGGGCAATCCACGGGCGCGATCCACGTATGTCAGAGGGGCGATAGGGGAAGGCAGGGGGGTCGACTTGACTGGCAGGCCTCGCGGTGCCACAGATCCCACGCACTTGAGCCATCTCCTCCTGGCGACAGGGGAGCGATGCGGGGACCACACTCAGGTGCAGGGCCTGCCGTGCCCGGGACAGGGGCGGCAGGTCGGCCGACATTTGCAAAGGGACTGCACGTGCGCGGGGGATTCCATGGGGGGGAGGGGGGGGGGGGCGAGCTGTTAGGCATTGCCAAGGGGGCATCATCGCGCAGCGGGGCTGGGACCTTGCAAGACGAACCATGGGCCAGAGAGAGAGAGGACGCCGGGATATGGCTGGCACCTTATGGCGGGAGGGCAAGCCGCGC